GTACTTATACTTTGTTACAATGCAGAGTCAATTGATTATGACAAGTTTTATGGGACAGTACGGGATCTTTTTGGTCCAGAAGTGAAGAGTCAAGATGTGAAATGTTTTTACCGAAAACTCTGCAATAACCCGGATGCATCTATAGACTGGTGTGAGGTTAGTAATTTTTTCCATTTATAGTATTATTTTTATTCAGAATAAATAACTAAATGGAAGTGTTACTCTCACAGAGACTAAAGCTACAATGGGTCTGTGGCTTATATGAATGTCCTTAAGGTATGTCCACTAATCACATTGAATAAAAGTATAAAATAGGTTTCACTATATTATTAATGAGTAATTCAAACACTTTTAGAACAATTGTAGAACTAACTATGCCATTAACAACAATTAAAATTTATGTGACCTGAATTATAATCCCAATAAAATATTTCTTTTTAATTGTGTCACCATCTACAAATTTTCAGGCTATACAAATTCTTAATATGAAGATGAAGAAGCTACTCATGACTATCTTGTATATTTCCTGAATTGTTTGCTGATCAGCACAATATTGGTTCCTTCTGTAGCATTCTAGTGCTCTTGGAAAAACACACATGCTTGATCAATTATGTGACTTATGAGTTATAGAAAAGTAAAGAAGAATGCCTCTGATTCTTGCTTAAACTTGCAGAACACAGTACTTCATAGTTTTTGTTTCATTGTTCATTAACCAGGTTATTTCTAATCTAAAAAGATTTTATGTGATTTGTAAATTTAAAAATTATACACATGAGTAACTAAGTTTATTTAAAACTGTCTAAATCACTTTAAAATTAAGACATAGAGTCAACAAAGCAGTAGGCAATTAAAAACGAAACCAAAAACAAAACCCCAGTAGGTAATTATTTACAGAATTTAATTATCAATAGTCAGTAGTTATATACTATCTTTCATTGGTATATATATATATATATATAGAGAGAGAGAGAGAGAGAATTTTTAATCAAAGCCATAAGAAAAATGCATCTTTTTTGATACATATAGGCTCATTTTAAATATGACCATGTTTTAGGCATAAGAACCCTTGGATAAATTATGGTGTAATAACATTAGAAACTTACAAAAGGTAGTCAAGTTGCCACCACTCAGAAATTTTGAGGGGAGGGGAGGTATAAATACAAAATTGTCTACTAACTGTAAGGTAGTGGAGAGGCGCCAGAAACCAAATCAGTTGAAGTAGAACAAACAGGCTTTATTAAGGAGTAAAAAACCAGCCTAGGCGAAGTCCCACAGTCCACAGTGTCTGGGCTGTGGGAGTCGCATTGCAGGCTACAGGGCTGCTGCTTATATGGACAGGTATGTCCGGGTTCCTGGAATGTAAGGTGTCTTCCTGGTTCCGGGTGTATTTGTGCCGGGTGCAGAGTGGTGGGCAAGAACAAAGCGGGCACTGAGCCGAACGGGCCATGCCGGGTGCAGAGCGGCGGATCGAGAACAAAGCAGGCCATTAGCCAGTTCTGGTCAGCTCCGCAGGTGTGTGTGGGAGATTCAAGGCCACTTGCTGCTAGTTGTTTCAGCCAGCTCTGGTCAGCTCCACATGGGTGGGGGAGACTCAAGGTCACTTGCTGCTAGAAGCCAGCCTGGTATTGATCCGGCCATACATTAACCTTGAAACCAAACCAAACCAAACTCACTGCCTTGGAGTCTCTGCCAACTATGTCAGCTTCCAAGACTGTAATTGTTTATGCAAGTAGAACACATTATTCCTGTGTGTTTGGGATTGAACTGTGTCCTCCCAAAATATGTGTTATAAATCCTACCCACTATACCTTCAGTATCTAACTCAATGTAAAGAAAACCCAAATCCTGACAACTGAACCAGTAGGTAATATCATGGTTAATGGCAAAAAGATTGAAGCTGCCAAGGATTTTGTCTTGCTTAAATCAACAATCAATGCTCATGGAAGCAGCACTCAAGAGATCAAATGAAACATTGCATTAGGTAAATCTGTTGCACAAGACCTCTTTAAAGTACTGCAAAACATGGCTGCTACTTTGAGAACTAAGGTGTGCCCAAACCACGCCATGGTATTTGCAATCATATGCATGTGAAAGATGGACACTGTAAAAGGAAAACTGAAGATATATTTGAATCCTGATGCTGACAAAAAACTATAGACTGCCAAAAGAACAAATGAATATGTCTTGGAAGAAGTACAACCTGAATGCTTCTGAATAGGCTCAAATATAAGAACAATTGTAAGGCTGACCTAGGACCAAGCAGTGATTCCCTTTGTTGTTCATTGGGTTGCTGTGAGTTGCAACTGATTCAACAACACCTAGCAACAACATACCTATAGTTAGAAGCCTTGATGGAGGAGTGGTTACATATTTGGCTGCCAGCCATATGGTCAGCAGTTTAAAACCACCAGCCACTCCTTGGAAGAAAGTTGAGGCTTTTTACTTCAGTGAAGAGTTGTTACTGTTGATGTTAGGGGTTATTGAGTTGGTGCCAACCCGTTGCAACCCTTTGCAACATAGAGTGAAACACTGCACCATCCTTCACCATCCTCTCAGCTTTTTATGCCAGGGCCCATTGATGCAGCTACTGTGTCAATCCATTTTGTTGAGGACCTTCCTCTTTTCTGCTGTCCTTCTACTTTACCAAACATGATGCCCTTCTCCAGGGACTGGTCTCTCCTGACAATATGTCCAAAGTATGTAAGAAGACATCTTGCCATACTTCTTCCAATACAGATCGCTTTTTTCCTTTTAGCAGTCCATCATACTTTCAATATTCTTATCCAGCACCACAATTCAGATGCATAGATTCTTCTTTGGGCTTCCTTATTCAATGTTCAACTTTCACAGGCATATGAGACAATGGAGAATGCCATGACTTGAGTCGGGCACACCTTACTCCTCAAAGTAACATCCTGCTTTTCAATACTCTAAAGAGGTCTTATGCAGCACATTTACCTAATGCAATGTGTCTCTTGATCTCTTGAGTGCTGCTTCCAGAAGCATTGGTTGTGGATGCAAGCAAGACAAAATCCTTGATAGCTTCAACCTTTTCTCCATTTACCATGATCTTACCTATTGGTGCAGTTGTGGGGATTTGGGTCTTCTTTACATTGAGTTGTAATCCATACTGAAGGCTGCAATCCTTGACTTTCATTAGCAAGTGCTTCAATTCCTCCTCACTTTCAGGGGTATACTGTCAGAATTCTGCAGCGACCATTCTGCCCTGTCCAATAAGTTTGTTATGAATGAGAATCAACTGGAGAGCAACTATCAATAGTAATTCCATTTGAGGATGGGTACTCTTTGTTATGTTAATGAAGTGCTGTTAGTGTAGGGAGTGTTTTAAATAAATCATCGGTTCCTATTTTGAGACTAAAATAACACTGAACTAAACAAAGGTAAAATTTCATAGAACTATACATTTTAGAGCCCAATCTTTGGAAAAAATATATTATATATATATAAAATAAGATTTCGACAATTTGAATCAGCAGTGTAGAATTTAGCCTAGAAAACTAAATATGGATGGTTCAATATTAGAAATGCCAGTATTTTACTAATATGTTAGGGAAAACAAATCATATGGTAATATTAATCAAAGGTTATCAAACTAAGGCCCATGGTTTAAACCTATTTGCATCAGTCAGATTTATTGTAACAGTGCAATATTTATTTGTTTACATATTGTCTCTGTCTGCTTCTTCACTATAATGGCAGATTGGTACTCAGAACAGAGAAAAAGTAAAAGTTTGATGACTGCTGATCAAAATAAAATTAAATAAACTGAAATAAGATCAAATAGACCTTAATATTAATTTCTTTTTTTTAAAATAAATCTTTTTATTGGGGGGTCTTACATCTTTTATCACAAGCCATACATTCATCCAGTGTGTCAAGCACACTTGCACATATGCTGCCATCCTCATTTTCAAAGCATTCTGTTTCCACTTGAGCCCCTGATATCAGCTCCCCATTTCTTCTCCCTCCCTCTCCCGCTCACCCTCCCTCATGAACCCTTGATAAATGTTAGATTATGATTTCCATCTCTTACATCACTCTCCATCACCCCTCACCCACTTTTCTATTATTCGTCCCCCTGGGAGGGAGTTCTAGATTGATCCTCTACAGATGGGGATTGGGTCTCCACTCCATGCACCCCACCCACATCCCATTCACCTTGGGTATGGTTTTGGATGCTGATACCTGATCCCATCGACACGTCATGATCACACAGGCTGGTGTGCTTCTTCTATGTGGGCTTTGTTGATTCTGAGCTACATGGCTGCTTGTTTATCTTTTTTTTAATATTAATTTCTAATTAAGAAATAGATGAAAAAACTGATGTAACAGAAAACTCTCTTCATTCCATAAAAGGGACTTCATCAGTCTGAATCCTTTGAGTGGATTCAGACTCATAAGTACCCTAGAAGACAGTAAAACTGCCCTCTCAGGCTTCGAAGGCTGTAATCTTTCTGGAAGCAGACTGGTGCATCTCCCTCACGCAGAGCAGCTGGTGGATTCTAAGCATCCACTTTTTGGTGAATAGCCAAGCACTGAACCAACCAAACAAACAAGGGGGGAGAGGGAAAGATTCTATTCACAAATGCAACAAATAGCAAAATTCATATTGGGATAAATCAGTTGCGTGTATAAGACAATAAAACTTTACTAAAGGAGAAATTGCATGATATGTGGATTGTATGTCAATAAAACTGTTTTTAAAGAGACTGTATACTAGAAATAACTTAGCCTCGATTTGTAAAGATCTCAGTTCTTTACTAAATTAAACTTCCATATTTAAGGAAATTCCATATTTAGTGGGATTCCAACAAGACAAGGTTTTGTGAAATAATGAGATGACTGAAAAATCCTTTTAAAAAAGTAACATTAGCCATCAAAACATATTTAGAACTATATATTCAGCTCCCTGTGTGGTTCTGCATTCATTGATTCAACCATCCCAGATAAATATTATTTTTAAAGAGCAAAAGAGCAATTATGTAGTTAAAGCCATTTATCAAAAGCTAAGAGAGAGTATAAAGTGTTGTTTATAATAACATTCTACTTTTACTAAATATTATATGTAATCTACGGTGGTTTAAAGATTTTAGAAGGATGTACTGTGGATTGTATGCAAATTATATACTCTTTTC